ACGTTGGCAAACTAGTTCAGCTGATGCCTAACAGTACCGTATTTGTTGTTTCACATTAACGTGTATCCTGAAAGTTGTGCTTAAAAAAGTAGAAGCAAATCTGGAAAAAAATTAACAGAGGCTATTGTATTTTTTTTTTTGGACAATTCACACAGCGCCATCTAGATCCGACTTAAGCTATCTAAAGCTTGTGTTACGGGTACTAGATAACTGATACAAGTACATAGATACTTTTTGTTTTCGTAAATATAGACATATACATAGAAAACACCCAGACCGATACAAACAATCATACTCATGAATACAAATGTTTGTGCCGTGCGAGGAATCGAACCCGCGACCATCGGACGTAAAGCGGTGTGCTAGACCGCTTGACCACCGAGGTCGTCAAAAAAAACAGTTACCGTAGCCTATGGACGCCTGAACAACCAGTGGTACACGTGCGTAATGCGGACTGTTAAGAAACTCAATATACCAACTATACCAAGAATACTCAACCCTTCTTGAAAAACTCCAGGCTGTAGTCAGATGAGAAAACCTCGGCAGGTAGTTCATTCCACAATCTAAGTGTACGCGGGAGGAAGCTCCTCTGAAACCGCACCGTCCGAGACCGCTTAGGTTTCAGCGTGTGGGGATGAATTCCCAGTCGATGGCGAAATAACTCATTAAGGTATGCTTCCTTACCCTGTATCGATAATAATATCATCCGTCATACTCGTGAACGGGTGCTGCTCTCTTCAGGTTACGAATACTGATTAGATTTTTTGTTTTTTTCAATAGCATATGCTGGTGGTCAGTCTATTCTCCCAAATTTAAATTTAAATGAATCTGTATTATTATAAACATGTACAACATTTATTTAAAAAGAATACGAGCTGATAGAGCGAGACATCATTCCGAACTGACGGTAGATTTGACATATCATAATAGTCTGTAAAAGACCTACAAAAAAAATATATAAATTTTATTCCGGTATTTTCTGCCTACAGTTATTTCGGTTTTAGTACAATTTATAGAACACCTAAGCTATAAATTAGGCGCATAAATAAAAAAATATCGTAGATATTCCAGTTGACGTCTTAATTACAGTAATTTATTAGTTGAACTGCTATTTTACAATTCACCATTAAAATTCAGAAACAATAGTCCTGAGGCATTAAACGCAGGCTTCACACAAATATAAATTAGGATAAGGCTGTCTGGGCTGTATTCCTTTGCTTACGATATACATTTTTAATTCTTATACGACGGCAAAGTAAAATATCTGTCCATGTTCATATAAAACTTTTTAATGTATCGAAGAAATAGAAATAGAAATAGAAATAATCTTTATTCAAATAAACTCATTACAAGCACTTTTAAATAGTCATATTTTGATTCTACCACTCATTCGGAATGCAGATTCATCACAAGAAGAATGAGCAAGAAACTTGTGTGTTGCTCTTTTAAATAATCCTTGTAAGTTTACATTTACAAGTCGAAACGTGTGAATACAAACTACAAACATGCATTATTTTTTTAGGTCAAATATAAATATGCAGTAAGATTGAATCAGTCGTAGTAAGTAAGAGCAGACCAGTCCCTACAAGCAGCACTCGTTCACGAGTATGACGGATGAATTATCTTAACAAGTTGACTGCCACGCCAGAAATCTGTCCCAAATGACAATGTCAATTTAAACACATTATTATAAATTGTAATACTAGTGTAGTGTATAAGCATAAAAGTGTTTTTAAAGATCTACAAACAATAAAATAATGAATTCTTGAATTTAATATATAACTTTAATTTATATATTAAATTTTGTAATGGTTTAATTGTAGCTGCATAAAAAAGGCGAGTGTGCTTAGTTGACGGCCTCGGTGGTCTAGCGGTTTAGCACCGCTTTCTTCCGAATGTCACAGGTTTGATTCCTCGCACAGTACAAACATTTGTATTCATGAGTACGATTGTTTGTATCGGTCTGGGTACTTTCTACATACAATATATATGCATTTACAATAAAAAAGTAGCTGTGTATTTGTGACAGTTGTCTAGTAGCCATAGCACAAGCTCTTGTTAGCTTGGGACTAGATGGCGCTGTGTGAATTGTCCTGATATATTATATTATTATTATAAGTAGTTGGCGTCCTGGAAAAGCCTGCTGTGTCAAATTGTATAAAAACAAATGTTAATTTTATAATTAATTAAATTAGAGAAATTCTTCTATTCTATTTATTCAATAAGTCTTTTATTTTTTATATAATTTATGCTAAATGATATCAAATGGTTAACATGAAGTACCCATCAACAATAATAAGCTCCCGACACATCTATAAGTATAACGGAATTCGGTAAATTAGAATTCTGAATGCGAGCTTTCATATCAAAGTCAATTTTGGCCGACCTCCAGCTACGAAATGAGGGAAATGTTTAAACAGGCAACGATCAAAGGCATTTTTTTTTATCGTTTGTAGATAAGTAACAGAAGTGGCTAGTCGATTTTCAACCTATATTCTGGTTATTACTCCTTCGAGTGTCATTGTGAAGTTACATTTATTTTGTCACGAAATTATTACATAACGCTATTTTTTTTTCGGACTACTCTAATGCTGTTTGCCACAGCTGGCCTTTACAGCTTTAGCGGACGATAGACGGCGAGTGTAGATAGCACTCGAAACTCGCGGAAGAACTTATGGAGCGGCTGAAGGCCAACTCCCGCCAGACGGATACGACTTTAGTCTGATGGTACCGCTAGGGGTTCGAAGGTCAGGCCGTCGTAATTTCGATCCCCGTTTGAATTGGACGGGGGATCGATCGGAGGGGCATTTTCATTATGTATATCAGAATCAATCGCCTCGAGGAAGACCAGTGTACTAAACTGGTCTATATTGGCACTCAACCAAATAAGATTCATAACTCTAACTCAAACCATTATAATGTTATAATTATGTTATAATTTTTTTATATTTTTTTTTAATACTCGCTGGTGGCAAACGGCCTATCTGTTGGTAAACGATTACCTCTGAATACGATACGATACGCCTATGATTGTCACGTGCGCGTTGCTGACCCTTAAGTAACCTTAAATGTATATTTCAAACTGTTCAAAATCTACCCTGTACCATCGTAAGTACAGATTATTATATTAGAGTCCGTTAGTTTCTGTTTGCTTCCCCCCCCCCCCCCCTACCGATGACAGAACTGACCGTACGGCGGCCATGACGCGTGCGCATTTATTGTATATTAAAATAAATTAAAACTGAGTTAAACCTACTGTGAAACTGGAAAGCAGGCGAAAATATCTTCGAGACCCTGAAGCCCAAGAAATCCGCAGAACCATACAGGTACGAGACAGACGCTTCCACATAAAGTATTTTCCCTAACACAAACATATGTAAATACATAACTCACTAATATTTATATTGTGAGGGAATCTTACCGGCGATCGTCAAAATATGAAGCAGTATACAAAACCGCTAGACCACAAAGGTAATCGCTTGATCAGAATCTAGTCAGAACTTCAAGGAAATAACTCCGAATTAAAGGGAATAATAAATTAGCCTTAATTAGACAACTCGGTAATACTGATCTGGAACTGTTTGATACTGAGGTCCGTGCACTAAATAATGAATGAATCAGTGAACAAAGGTGAGAACGGTCTGCTTCTGTATCTTGAGCAATTTGTCAAGTTGATTTATTTACAGCCTTTCGAGAATACTGGTGGCTTCCAATAGATTGGTAATATACCTACGTTTTGTACTGTTATGTAATTGAAATGGCAAACAACTGAGGGTAAATGGTAAATCTATATACATGAATAGCATTCGGATATCACTTTACGATGTGAATTGTCACGATTGCATAAGAAGTAGTATACTTATGTGTTTAATATGTCATACCTCATATCCTATAATTTCATTTATTTCATCCTTTAAACGAAACACAGGTTTCGAATTTAGCTGCTTGGCGCTGAAATAAATAAAACTGAGATACCTACTCAGACTGTTTTACAGATTGAATTTGCAGATTTATTAACTGCTATTAAATAATAATGAATTTATTCATTCAATATTTATAGTTGTAAATTGTGCTGAGTAACACAAGGATTTGATTAGTGAATTTAAACAGCGCTCTCAGTCGTCTCAAACGCCTGAAAGTTTACAAATAGCAATGCTATAATTCGAATGCAGAATGCTAAGAGAGTTGGAAAGGATTACGCTTAATGCGATTTGGTCAGAATTTTTGTTTTGCGTTGGATTAGAATAGTTTATGCTTAGTACTAAATACCTAAATATAAACATAGAGGGAAGAAGACTATTAGTAATGGCGATTATAAACCCTATTGCTAAAGATATAAGGTACCTACATACACCACATTTACAAGCACGCAATCTTCCAATGGAAACCTTTGTAGTTATTACCTAGTAGTTTCATAATTAGCTACATAGCTTTTTATGGCAGTAACCCCAATAAATAAGCATCTTATCATTCATCACCTTATCTACTGTTATACACACTAAACAAATTACCACGAGTTAATAATGTACGTTGGCGATACAACTAATAAGATGTACTTCCAGAATTCAAAAAGTGGATTAGATTTTCGTTTTGAACTGCTTATATGGCTCTACTCTTTAAGAATTGACCTATATACTAACTAATAATGATATTAGCCAATTAATTCCATTCTTATTCCTTATAACGCCATCTTACGTTAAATAGATAAACTTTAACTAAAATGTGAACTTCAATACACACCGTTAGATGGCGTTACGATTTAGTAACGAAGGTTTTGTGAAAAATCCATTGATACTTTTCGTGAAAGAGTTTTAAAATTTAAAGGTATAAAATAGATTAAACATATTATAAAATACGTTATACACAATTATACATTATAGTACATTTATAATCGAAATCAATTAAACTGTACCATCGATTATAGTCGCGTTGTGTAGGGCAACACTAAACGGCCATTTTAATTAACCACAGACAAATTTGTTTTGACAGTTACGCTAGGGAGTGTTCTTCACTTCAGTTCAATGGGAGATAAAAATGATTATTTTCTTATTTCTGGGTTAAATATATAATAAAATATCGTGTGTTTTATCACCATGGGTTGTTGGGAGAAAGTGGAAAATGAAGACTGCTATGGTGTCAGTGAGTGTTTACATTTATTATTTTTTTCACAGTTTGGAAAGGTTTGATTTGACGATCATCATTGATAAACTTTTGCACTTACCTCCCGCCGAGCCAGATAAATATAAACATTGTATCATATCTCATTCTGTGCCGCTATCAGTGTTATCCTGATAGAAATTGGTGTTAATTTTATGTAATAGTGTATACCGTTTAACCTTTATTGGACCACTCCCTAATTTATGACGAACTAATATTGATAAATAGTTCAAAACATTATTGAATCTCATGTAATGCACAGTTCAAGGCTGTAGGCAATTGTATATTCATCATTTAAATAATTTAAATCCTTTAAATATTGTATATTCTTCATTTAAATTCTAAATCCTTTAAATTATCTACTTGTATGTCTAATTGCATTTAAACAAAATAAACATAAACAAATGTTTTCGTAATTTGTATTATGAGTTGATAGAATGTTAACTGTTTGAATGTTTATTATAAAGTAGATTTGAAGTTACATAAATTATTTGTTTAATATTGTTTGAATATGTATGTATTGTTTATTTTTTATGAATCAATCAAGGTCATAATACTTGACGAAAATAGATTATTATAAACTTAGCAAACATAATTTGAATAATGACAGCTCCTCAAGTTGATTTATGTAAAGATTGCAATAAAAAATGTATATCTGTTTACAGAAAACATGTTTGAGATACAAACAAAAGTGATTTTAATGTTGTAATTTTTTTAAATAAGTGATAATGAAAGTTATCTCAAACAGTAGACACTGAGGTACCAGTGGAGGAGAATGACCATCAAGTCTGATCAGCACGCCTATAGTAGCAAATTTCCCAGGAATTAGTATCAGTAGTTTCCAGATGGGACCACAAGGATGTTGACCTGAATTTGTTAGCGATGGGGTCGCTGACCACAGTAGTAACACACTCCTACCCCTGCTATTGCCCTTAGGGTCAAATATAGATTTGTTTACAATGATTGCATATTTATTACAATAAATCCTCAATGAATATATGAAACAGGGTGTTTAAGGTGTAGTTATTTTGTTAGATGTCACCTTAGTACCCAATGTGATCCAGGGGGACCCTCAGGAGTCCACAGGAGACTTGAGGGGGTAATATTTACATGTTTTGTTGAGTTTTGGGGATATGGTAGAAATATAGCTGCAGGGGTTACATATTCTATGAGAAAAAAAGTCTGGCCACCTCACTTGTTTTCCGTTAATTATATCTGTAGAACAGTTTATCACAGGACTGGTTTCCCTCGAGAAGGCTGACCTCATCTTGGACCCCATATGAGTGTAATTACGAATGCATATCTGTCTGTCTATACGACACTCTTCTACGAGTAACTGAATAGATCTTTACAAATAATTTTATATATTTTCTTCTCCTGTGAGATATTATATAAGTTAGTCCTCTCTTCAGTCTTAAAGTTAATGAAACTTCAAAAAACTTCTATCAATTATTCAAATATTTTATAGTTTTAAGTTTTTATATGTTGACTAGCTTTAATCTATAAATCATATATAACATAAATATATAATAATAATAATCTCAGGACAATTCAAATAGCGCCATCTAGACCCGAGTTAAGCTAGCTAAAGCTTGTGTTATGGGTACTAGATAACTGGTACAAATACATTTTTTTTTCTAAATACACACATCTTATACATAGAAAACACCCAGTCTGATACAAACAATCATACTCATGAATACAAAGCTGTGTGCTGTGCGAGGAATTGAACCCGTGAACATTGGACGTAAAGTGGTGTACTAAACTGCTAGACCACCAAGGTCGTTGATCTATTATTTGCAATAGATCTATTATAATTAACAACATATAATTAATCTTAAGTACATGTGTCATAACGTGTATCACAATAGGTTTGCTTAGTAACTGAAATAAGCTATATAAAGCATTGTGGCTTTTAATGAGAAAATGTGATATTTACTCTAACACTTCCTTGTTTTTGTTTCAATTTGTATAATAATGTAACATATATATTTTAAATTTTAATGAAACTGTAGGAAAACAATTATAAGTATTAAGTAATTAGTATGTTGTACATAAGTTAGTAATTATATATAGCTTTAATATATAAACACAAAACAATAGTTGACATCCTCGGTGGTCTAGAATTTAGCACACTGTCTTACTTCCGATGGTTGAGGGTTTGATTCCTCTCTCATTACAAATATTTGTATTCATGAGTATGATTGTTTGTATGTATTAGTTAATCACCACTCATCATCATCATCTGCTTCTTCCTTATCCCATTTATTTGTGGTCGGCGTAATATGTTTTTCTCTTCCATTCATCCCTGTTCGCAGTCATCTCGTTATTTACTTCCTTTCTTACCATATCATCTTTCACACATTCCATCCATCTCTTTTTCGGCCTTTCTATGCCCTTATAACTATCCACATTCATATGTAACCTTCCATAAAAGCCTACAATTAGCACCCGTTCAGGAGAATAATTTGAGTTGAGAATTTAATGAAAGTTGAAAATTCATATTGCTTGTAATATTGTAATAGTAACCTAGTGTGTACATATGATTAATATTTGTTTATTATAATAATTATCTTATCAGTTGTACTAAACGGTTTTGACGACCTTGTGAAATAAACAATCTAATTATTTAGTTTTTTATAATACACTAATTGAAAGACATATTATCATTACATAGTATAAAACGAAGTCGCTGTCGCTATCTGTCCGTCCCTATGTAGGGTTAAATCTTTAAAACTACGGAGCGGACTTTTAGGCGGTTTTTTAATAGATAGAGTGATTGAAGAGAAAGGTTTAAGGTTTACATATAAATGTATAATACATGTACACCTGGGAGAAGCCGGGATGAGTAGCTAGTAATATATGATACGTTTATAGCACATATACAATATATCATCTGCGAACTAAGACATTTAACCAGTCATAAATGGTATAGTGGTTTAACATGGTTGTTAAACACACTGCTTTACATGGTCGCTGGTTCGAATCCTCGCAATCGTATTCTTGAGTATGATTAAATAGTCATACTCAAGAATACGATTAAGATCAAGAAAAGATACATAGTGATCTGGGTGTTTTCTATGTATATTATGTATATAGATACAAGATTTTAATATTATGAATTATTAAAAACTTGTATCTAAGTATGCTGCTTAACATAGGAGTATATGGCGCTATATGAATTGTGCAGGCCTTATTATTATTACCTATATTAAAGTATATAGTAATAAGTAAAAATATACAGTCTTTATTTTCATTTATTTGTTCATTTTTTGCAAGTGATTATGATACGATTTTCACTATCAGTTTTAGAATCATCAGAAGGGTTTTATGTATAATACATATAGTAACATTTTTAGGACTGTAAACTCCTCCGATCGATCCCCCGTTAATTCAAACAGAGATCGAAATTACGACGGACTGACCTAAGGCTCGTATCCCTAGCGGTGCCCTCCCACTAAAGTCGTATTTGTCAACAGGAGTTGTCCTTCAGCCGCTCCATAACTCCTTCCGCGGGGTTGGAGTGCCATCTGCACTCGCCCTCTATCGTTCGGTGAAACTGTAAAGGCCAGTTACGGCCAACAGGATTATAATAGTTTGAAAATTGATTGGTATAGCAAAGTGATCAGAAATATGATAAAATAAATAGTTAATCTACCTTAAAAATAAGGAAACTCGTGTGAAGACAAGATGGGTTCCTAGTCATTAAAGAAAGATAAATAAACCTGCACTTTTTAATACATTTTTTTTACATATACGGCTTCGCACGAGTGTACATGTATTATATATATAAACGCCATTCTCTCACAATTATTTCAGTATGTTTTACAAGTACGGCTAAAATTATCTCATATAAACCTTCCTCTTGATTCACTCTATCTACCAAAAACAAAACCGCTTCAAAATCCGTTGCATAGTTTTAAATATTTAAGCATACATAGGGACGGACAGACAGCGACAGCGACTTTGTTTTATAATACTACTATACTATGTAATCTGCAGATTCTGCCAAACTGAAGAGGAAACGCCGCTTCACATCCTATGTGGTTATAGCCCACTCATGCATAAATGAAATATCTCCTTTGGAAAGTTTACACTCTTTCCCGAGGAGATAAAAACGATCGCTCCTAAGAATATCCTTCAATACTTGTCCCTGACGGGTCTAGGTAGCGAACTCGGAAAAGAGCGAGCACAATCGCACGCGCGCACGCGATCTATGTAGGTCGCAGTGCTACAGGTGCTACACATCTGACAATAGCCCAACAACCCATTAAAAAAAATGTAATGATTGTATTAATTTTTAACAAAATTATTCGTTAATTAGATTTTCTTATTATTTATTTTTTTATTTATTATATTATATATCCTGCAGTACAGAGTGCTTTCTGGCAAATGTCTACTCTAATTCCTTCCACTGTACTACTGTTTTGGGGTGGCCTTCTCCAGTATCTGCCCTGCTGTTTGCTTTTTTCGTCTTCCCAGCATCTCTATGGTCTCTTTCTTTTGCTACACGTGTGCTAGTCATTATATATACATATACTAGCTGTCCTGGCAAACGTTGTTAAAATAAAAAATAAAAAATTAGGGGTGGACTACTATTTTTCATCCCCCTAACATTTAGGGGGATGAAAAATAGATGTTGGCCGATTCTCAGACCTACTCAATACGTTCACAAAATTTCATGAGAATCGGTCAAGCCGTTTCGGAGGAGTATGGGAACGAAAACTGTAACACGAGAATTTTATATATAAGATTTATAATGACATATATGTATATGTCAGTTCTGTTCACTGAACGCAGCTGTAAAAAAGACACCCAAAGACATTAGTGCACATCGCGTCATAATGTTCTTAAAGCGGTCGCTACACTAATTAGTAAGTTGAATGAGACAGGGCCGGCGTCAGGGGTCTCGTCGAGGGGCTTAAATTTAATTGTATTTTTACTAGTTCCCCTACTTCTGGGCTTTTTTTATATCTTGGTAA